AGTAGTTTTAAAGAATTGCTGTGGAATCCAGTCTGTCCGACTTGAGGGGAAGGCTCGTAATATTTCACTTCAAACGGTTTGGTTTCATGTGTGCCAGATGCTGACTTTCATAGGTGGCATTTTTGCTGGTTCTCCAATTTTACCTTTACTCTGCTTTCTCTCAAAAACTACACAGTAACGACCCTGACATTAAGATAATAGTCGCTGGTAATGTCCAGTCATAATTTATCACTGTGGAATTGCATAGCTTCTCCCATAGTTCTGCTTTCTGAGTTAGGGCCCTGTGATCCATCACATACCTTTCAGAATGGCTGTCATCCCAAAGAGGCTCTGAAGTAGTTCATTTTTAGCCTGAGTTCTGCTGACTGCTGTGCAAATTTGGACTTGGTAGCTGCATCTTAGACCTGAACATTCATCAGAGTTGCATCCTTTTTTGTTTCTGGCCACAAGATCCTCTAAATCCATCTGACTAAAACGCTAAGTACAGTTGAAAAACTGAAACTGTCCTTGCTTTGAGAAGGAGGACTGTTTATTAAAGAGCATGGTGCGTTGCTTGAATGGGGCTCTGAGAAATGTGAAATGACAAGCCACCTGAGCGAGGGTGAAAGTTTAAACAGTCACTTTTCAACCTGGCTGCATCTCTATTTTGGCTCTCGGTTTTTTTCCCCTTATTCTCAGCTGCAGGCTGGAGGTGAGGGAAGAATCATTTGGATGTCTGAAGCTTAGTATTTGTATGCTCATTCAATACACACAGCACAGCAATCAGTTTTACCTCATTTCTGGGATTTTTTGGTGATTCCTAAGGAGCAATTATTGCCCCCATCTTTTCTTAGGAATGATTAAACCTCTGGAAAAAAAAAAAAAAAGACGTAGTTCTTCGGGGTTGTCTTAATACCTTTAAACTGGTGTTCATTCTCTTCTGCTCTTCTTCCTCCACCTCAATTGCGAGCAATTGGGTGGTAGTAATTAACAATCTTAGAGAGAAACATCTGCTAGTACACTTAAGCCAGTCAGTTTGTTTTTCATGAAAGAATGGTATTTCACAATTTTTCCAAGTTAGTATTTTTCCTTTATTGTCTTTCCAATTTCAAATATTGTCCAGACGCATTTTTATAGTGTCTTAAGGTTATAGAAGTGAATACAAGACCATTAATAATGAACAAGAAAAGAGAACATCATAAAGAAAACATATGCAGTATTTCAATTCATGAAACATTCTGTAGGGAACAATGTTTTTGAGAGCATATGGTTATTCCCATGAGAAGCAATAAATATACTTGTATTTTTTTCCCCTCCAGTTGTGGATTCCCACAACAAGGGTAGATTTCTCTGTGTATTCGTCTATGTAGCGCGTTCTCTTTGTCAGGACTTGTTATCTGAGTGGGGAGGTAAATAAGGTTTTTTTGCATAGATGATATATTGGATGTGGACCTATTTCTGATGGCCTAGGCTTTGGAAACACAAGTCTATTAATTCTCCACACTCCTTTGAGATAGCTATCTTGTCTGGTCTGGTTTAATATCATTGGCAGAGCTGAAAGGAAGTTCACATTGTGAATATATCTGAACCTTGGCATGCGGCTCACTGGTGGATCTCTGTTTATAGGCTGCCGCTTTTAACTGTCCCGAGCAGACATTCTCATTTTATTTATAAGTAGGTTCAGCATGTGTTTGTATCCTTCATGAAATTGAGCGGTTGTCAATACTGGAAACTAAGTATAGAAACAAGATACCAAACACTTGTACTTCTCAGACAAAACAGTCATACTCCAGTGTGTATTTTTAAATATTCATTGGGTTTGGATAAGGCACAGGAGGATATACGAACAGACACATTATTTGATCACTGGTAAATATTATTTTAATACCTCCATATTCCCCTTTAAAGTTTCCTCATTTTGATTTCATTTTTTTCTTTGCTGAATGAAACTTGACATCAGGATGAGATCACCAGATTTCCCCATTTCATCTGAGCTCCAAAATGAGTAACTGATTTCAAAGGATAATTCCCCAGAGCAGCAGGGCCAAAGAGTTCTTCAGATCAAAGGTCAGCGAAGCTCAAAGAGGATAATTTCTGGCATACAGTATTTAAACTCTCTCAAGGAGTGTACTGCAAGATGTATCCCCTCCTTTCCCAATAGTTGAACTCTTGTTTTTTGAGAAGACTAATTTGTCAGAGCACATTTTTTCCTCTGTTACATAAATTATACATTAAAGTGAAAGCTTCCTATCTGAACACACAAACTGTACATCCAGAAAGGTTATTAAACAAGCCAGTGGAAGGGCTGTTCCGGAAACCAGAAGGTAACTGGATGCGGTTCCTCTCTGCAGCACTGTGGGCTGGGGAACTCTGGTGCTCCTTTGCACGTGCCGGCAGCTTTCAGCACAGTGCAAGAGTGCGGTGGTGGAAGGGAGAGAATGCTCTGTAAGACACTTCATTTTGGCAGAAAATCCCAACAAAGAGCATTGGGACAGGGAATAGTCACCTTGTGCAGGATCTGCTCCTCAATGCTCTCAGCCTAATGTTGTTTGCCGTGCCAGTGTTGTTTGGGATGCTGTCCCTTGACAGATAAAAGACCACTGTAGAAGTCTTTTGGCCATTATGTACCTTTATACATTGAAAAGTATCTGTGATAACAGAGGTGGATTTTTTTTTTTTCAATTGGTTGTCCACTGTTCCAACAAAGCCAGGGCTCATACCAGCCCAGCTTTCATTTATTTCACATTCCCTAGAGTGAGATTGCGAGGGATTGCAAAAGCCCCTCACGCAAATGTTTCTATCAGCTCAGTTAGAACTGTTCCTGTGAGAAACTCATCACCGGTACCAATGAGCCACTAAAAATCTAGGGGCATATTTAATAGTTATGAAGAACCACTGCCACTGTAACCGTCCTTGTTATGAAGACCCACGTTACCCATTTCTTGTTGATTTTAGAATGAAACAACAAGGCTGGACTAAGGTAGACAACCAAATGTTGTCTTTTTTTTTTTTAATGGGGGTCTTTCTGTGGCCTTAGCTTTGAACTTCCAGGAATACGGAGTCATATTTGTGGACAAAATGAGTATAAAGCAAATGGCCCTTCTTCAGATATGCTTCAAATTTTTGTATTGTAAGTAGTATTTATTTTAATATGTGCCTTCAATATGATAAACACTCTACAAAAACCTCCTAATAAACAGTCCCTACTCATCCTATAACACCAGGTTAAAAGGACAAGGGAAGAAACTGCCATGAAGTGAGCTTTCTCTTCCTTCAGCTGACCTTCCCGCTTAGCTTAGGTTTAGCGTAGAGAATCCTAACATGGCTTGGAGTGGAAATCAAAGTATATCAGTGTGTGAGCATGTGTATAATAAACTCCATGCCTACTTGCATTTGTACAATGCAAATTACATGTGCCTGTTGGGAAGCTGGTGTTAGTATAACATCAAAACTGCAAATAAGTATCAAAGTCAGCAAATTCCAAAGGTTAGGATTTCTACCTCATTCCCCCTTTCTTTCCTGCACATACAGAATCTTTTCTAGTATACCACAGTTTACAAAAAAAACCAAAAAAGGGTAATACAATAGTGTTAAATTTAAACAAAGAAATAAGACTAGAAAATGTGATCTATTGCAGAGTGACAATGTGAATGTTGTGGCAGAAATTTTAGTTTTGGAATTTCTGAGAGTATAAAGCTGTGGTAAGGGTAGAGTTTTTTATTTTAAATTTTTTTTTTAGCTAATTTTTCGATTTTAAATGTTAAAGAAAATGCTGAAAGATGGCTTATATAATATCTTAATTTCTAGCATGTTAGTGACTTGCTTTCCTGGGAGAATGCTTGGGATGCACCTCAGTAGTGCCGAACACCAGGAGACCCAAAGAGTAAACCCAGTTTGAAATGGGTCTTCCTGAACTGGAGGGGATCATGTCTCCTTTTTTGTAAGGAATCTGACTTTACTGAACTGGCACTTACATGAGACCTTACTCACAAAAGCATCCCCAAGAAATGGTTCCTACATAGCATTAGGTTAAAGGCTTTGGGTAAATGCCAAATGCTGCAGTGCAAGAGAAAAAATGCTGACTTTAAGACCCACATTCTCGCAATGTCTTCTATTTTTCGGGGTGTAGGCAGGATTACTGCTATGCCTAATGAAGTATGGGTATAACGTTGGCAGAGGTATGTGGATGTATGAAAAATCATATTGAAAATGTTTGAGGGTAGGGTTAAAAAATCTGTATATTTTCATAATGAATATAGGATTCATTTTCTTAAGATATAGGGTTTCATCATGTGCAAGGCTGAGTGCCTCTGCAGGAGCCAAAGGCACAGCTTTTAAGTTCATAGGCATTTGTCTTTTAATCCACGAGAAGTATATATAGCTTTCTGTTACATATCTGCTATATGTTATGATATGTTGTGATGTATATACGATAGATGTTAATAGTGATGATCTTTATGAGTGCTATTGAATTATGCAAGCGCAAGTGTTTTAACTTGAAACCTAAATAAAATATACTTTTTTATACGTACTTGAAAAAATGCAGCTTAACCTCTTTGGCAGGTAGTTTTACCTTTTTGGGAGGGAGTAGAGTTTGTGTGTATTTGAAGAGGGAAATTGAAAGAGAATGAGGACTTCATTTCAGCTTCATTACTTCATTCAGTGCTGGTGAATGCAATGTGTTTTTGCAATATGTCACGAACTTTCAATATTTTGCAAAATTATTCAACTTATTTACAGTAACAGTTCTGCTGATTTATATTCTCATAATACTGTTTGAACTTCCTGTGACTAGTGATGTTTGTAGGAGAGGCTGTGTACCAAAAGCTGTTGGTAGCTTGTCTGCAGAAATTATCCCAGATGTGTAGTGAACACAAAGGCAAATCAAGTATAATGATCCTCTCATACAAGTTCGCTGAAATCAATTTCACCCTAAATATAAAGACAGATTTGCAAATATGAGACTGCTTTGACATTTCCTTATAAGTGGTTTTTTTTTTTTTTAAATATATTTTTCGCAGTGGCTTTGCCTCCAGAGAAGACAGATGGAGTTTGCAGTGGAGATGAAAAGAAAGCAGAAAAAGAAAGTGACACACGCACAGGTTCCAAGAAGCAGCTGAAATTTGAAGTAAGTTCTCTATTTTTTAAAGTTTCACTGTACTGACATAATTATGGTAGAAAAATAACCTATGGACCAAGTAGTGTCCTCTGATGCATGTGTATAGCTCCTGACGATTGTAATGGGTACAGGAAGGAGCAGAATTGGCACAAGTCAGTGTCTTACTATTGGTGCTCCTTATGAAGTGATTAGTGAGGTTTATTTCCAGGTTTGGAGAGGATCAAATGATGATCATTCCTCTGTAAGACCTGAAATATATGCTAGGAAGAGGCATTTGGTTTAACCCTTTATCTATGATCCTTTCATTAGTAATTTATTACGCCAGCTATCATGTTATCAAATCTTTAGATGGACTTTCATGGACTTTCGTGCACTTGGTTAAATATGCCTAGTGTAAAAGACGTTTGTGGAAGCTCCTTAACCATCGGTCTTCTGTGCCTGGGCCTCCAAAGTGAAATAACCCTGACCTGCTACACGGGAAATCCATCTGATCACATGGCAGGAGGAGAAGGATCCTGGAGGGCAATGAGTCTGATGGCCTATTTCCTTCTAGACTTACAAACATCATAAATCTGCCAGGCGTTGTGTGTAGTCGGCAGGTTTTGTTTATGTAGGGAGTGATTTAATAAATACGAGTATTGAAGCATGCTGTCATCCAGCTAGAGGGTTGTCTGTCTTGGTGAGGAGGAAGATACTCTGGTACCAGCAAGAAACAGCACGAATTTTCATCTCTCTGCACTCCAGCAGACATGGCAAACTTCTGCCTTTCAGTGCTGTCAGCCTGTCACAGTAATGAGCTTTTCGTTCCTCAATTGTTATTTAAAAGACCGTGCAGCCACCTTGCAGCATGGCTCCAGTGTTCGTTTCCTTCTCTAGAGCAGATTTAGTAGTCTGGTATGACTTATTTTTCACTGTTTTAAGGCTGATTAAAAGGAGGGTAGCTCTCCCATAGGCAGTTCAGGTGTTGCTAGGTGCTTGTGTGCCTTCTGGGGGGAGGCGACTTTTCCTGCCTTTTCTTTGTGCGTAGTGGTAACTTTTTTCTAGGCACATTTTATATTCTACCTTGAGTAGCAGACATTTGCAGACAGGAAAGAGATGATAAATTGCAATTAACGATGCCTTGATATTTGAACGTTGGAGGACACCTGTCAACATGGTTGGTGCCAGAGTAGCTGGAACTCTACTGTAGCGGCAAAGCCTGTGTTTGTTCCCGAGTAGTTCTTGGCATGCCATAAAGGTTAGCACTTGGTACTAGGCTCCATGACTAATGCAGGGCAGGTTGCCATGGCTCTTAACTAAGCAGAGCACATCCTCACATAAAGATGTTATGTTAGGCAGTGGAGGACAGGGAAGTATTAATATGTGGCAAGAAACCAAGTATTGATATTTTTTCCCTTGTTCTACAAAGGAACGTTTTCCAGCTACGTCTGCTAGGAGCTAAGAGATTGGTAAACCTTTCAAAGGTATAAAAGAATCAGAAATGCAAGTGTTGAGACAAGAGGTCTAAGTCTGAGGTGGATGTGATTTGGCTTTTAAGGGTGCTGGGAATGTTTATGTAATGCGAGACTGTGTTTCCACAGTAGAGTGTGGGGCAGTTGGCAGCTCTGGACCGGGCTTGTTACAACGGGGAGCAGCCTGCCTTTGAACTCGGCAGGGGACAGGGGCACCGGGAACTGCTGTAGGGAATTGGTTTCAAGTCAGAAGATCAACCAGGTATTTTGAGCCCTATCATACTGAAGCTATTTGGAGCTGTTTATTTTACTTGCGTACAGTGGCTTTCATTTTAATTGCACTGTAACTTTTCTGTTTTGCCTTGTTGTGGCTCTGGATAATTTTGATTGCACAGGTCTTGAGAGAAAGCAAACGATTTGCACCCAGGTGACCGGAGTCAGTCGAAGTGCATCCTTTGTTCTTGACCGAAGTCTTGGGTTTGGTTTGAGAATGTTTTTTCCCTTTAACAAATTGATTCTTTCAGGCTTTCCACAGATCACACTCTCACTAACAAAAGCGTGGTTAAAATAAGGACCAGGCGCTACTCCCAGGTCGTTCTTACCTGCCAGTTCCTAGGCAGGCTCTGTTTCAGGAGCTTCAGTGGCATGATGCTGTACTGCACTAAACTCTGACAACCTTTGGGTATCAAATGTCTGTGTCAAGGACAGGTCTCACTGGTAGGGATTTGTGCCATATGTCCACGTTGTGTTAATGCCTACTGCTGGCACTGGCGTGTACCGCCTCATTCTGTGAGTCTGGTTCTGCTATCTGTCTCTTCCTGAGTTAAGCAGAGTTTTCTTTCTCGCTTTTTAGTGGGAAATTTTATTCTATTTCCAAAGCTTCAGGGAGTAGTTTTCTTGTACCTTTTTGCGTTTTCTACAATGAAACAGAAAGCATCTTGCAGCTTTCCCGAAGCCTAGCCCAAGGGAGTTAGGATTATCATGGGATTGTGATGAGACTCCTTCAGTGTGGTGGACAGAGGCCTCCTCGGGACATATCCTGAAGCCTTCCTCCCGTGATGGAGGGAGGAAGGAAGAAAGCAAGCAGCGTCCTTCAAGAAGACAGAGAGTCTCCTCTGCAAACAGGCCTTTTGCTTTAGGTAATCAGCTGCTCTTTGCATGTTTCTTAGGAATTGCAATGTGATGTGTCTGTAGAGGAAGATAACAGGCAAGAATGGACCTTCACACTGTATGACTTTGATAACAACGGAAGAGTCACACGTGAGGTAAGCAAAGTACAGCTGCCCCTTTGTGCGCAGCGTTTGCTAACAAGAGAAGTGTTTTATAACAGGAACATTTTTCCTTCTATGAAATAGAGGTGTCCTGCCAACTTAAACAGCAGTTTCCACTGGACCCTTCCCTCCTAGAAACAATCCCACCAGTGGTTTACTGTTTTCAGATGTACTGCACCACTTTTTAAGCTGGTTGTTGTTTAATGTCTGGGATTAGACTTTAAAAAATAGTTCTGGCATTTGAGGAGGAAAAACATCTGAAACAACTGAGCAACTAAACACATTGTCAAAATAAACCCCTGCAAATGTATATTGTTCTGGCTTCTATCCTGCTTTTCAGAGTTAAGCTAACCAAATAGCAAGGTTGCTTTCGGACATTCTTTCCAGTAGGACTAACTATACTGTTCAGTTGTTTTCATGAATATTAGGCTGATCTCTGCCTTCTCCCTCCAAGTATAAATAGCATTCATAATACTTGCTGGATGATCATGGTGAATGGCTGTCAAAGAATACCTGTGTGTATTTTTTATTATCAGGATGTCTTCAAGTCATATTTCCTGTGCAAATATGAAGCCAAATAAGAGGATGTATAGATTAGGATACAGTACTTTTTCAGAACTATTGCTGTCCAGGTTGAATGATACTTCTTCTAGGAGAATGTCTTTTACTGAGATTTACTGCAATGTGCTGTCATTGATTTTTTTGTGTGGTGTGTTTAGTGGCTCCCATGCCTTCAGATAATCAGCTGAAAATTGACAGGTTTTGTCTCTCTTGGCTCTTATGCCAGTGCCTGTGAAAATTACTAAGAACTGACTGAAAGGAATAGGGTAAACACTGAAAGTGTAGTGGCCTTAGACACCAAACGAGGGCAGAAATTTTTCCTAGAAGACTGAAGCAAATCTCTTTTGACATTTTTGAACAAATTGCCAAATGTGGTGGTTGTTCAGGGTTTGTAATGTGTATATGAACATCATTACTAGGCTTTTTTTATTGTCTCTACTCTGATAGTGCTTTGACTAGTCAAACGAAATCTGTGCCCCTCATGCAAGAGAATAAGCAGATGAAAAGTTTCAGGCCAAGTGCAGAGTTTCAAATGGGAAGACACAGAGAGAAGGCGAGGAGAAGAGGGGGTGGGGAAGTAGTATTGTATTTGTTAATGTGTGGGGAACAGAGACCAGAAAAACGAAGTAACTTGCCTGAAGTCTCACAGGAACCTAGTGGCAAATTGAACCCAGATCGTTCGAGACCCAAGGCTAAGTCTACATTACAAGATTATCGTGACTCTCAAAGAATAGGGGAAAAACACACAAAACCCAAACCCACATACATGGGTGTCCTTTACATTCAGGCATGGAATTCCCATTAATGTCAGTGGGAGTTCCATGTGCTGAACATAATGAGAATATGCTTTTAAGTATGTATACAATAATTATTTGTGATTATGTGGTACACCAAAGAGCTTAATTTGACTGTACTTAGAGAATATGTTACAGCCAAATTCTACCTCTCCCTGCTACAAGAGCAGCCTGCAGCTTAACTGAAACCAAATCTGTGCGGGGATTGAAAATTATACTACTCTAAGGTCTGGAGGTTGCTATATTCAGGCTTGAACCTGTGCCAAGAAAAATTCTTTTAACCAAGGGACCAAATAGGTTGATAATTTTCAGCTCTTTACATGTGACCAAAGATAGAAACAAATAGTATGCACCATTGCAGAGTTTCCCAGTTATGTACACACTTCTTTTGCAAGCTGTTCAGTGCCATTTGTGTAATCCATCTGGTTGGTTGTCTACTGTTGAATCCGGGTGCAACTTAAGATTTGTTTGTGCAAGAATGACTAAAGATAGCAGCTCATAGATAATCTTGGCCACAAAAGAGGAATTTTGGTCCCTTCATATAACATAGAATTTCGTGTTCTATTAGCCCCTGAGAGACTAACAGTCAACATAGTGGGCTTGATAGTGTCGTTTGTTAAGCAGCTCTGCTCCTGATCCAGCAAAGGACTTAATGATGGTGAACATTAAACGTGTGAATAGTTTCAATTAAAATGAACGGAACACGTGCTTTGAGTTAAAAGTATGTGAAGCACATTGCTGGATCAGGGACAGCAGGGACAGTCTGAGGAAGAGGGCTGATCTCTACCGGTGCCATTCAGTGAGCTGATGAAAATACTTTCAGAACTGGTCAGCTTTTCTAAACAAAGGTCCAGTGTTCTGGTGAGAAAAGCTTAATGTGGACCCTTTCTCCTCTTTGAAAATTTCACTTTAATGTCTCCTGGATTTATAGCCGGATTTAACAGAGAGATGAAATTTCTTAAGTCAGATTTATATCTGTAGACCTTGAGGTGCTTTACAAAAAGAAGTCAGCTTTGTCATTCTTGTTTTTCATGTTGGAAAAGTAAGACACTGGAAAAGGAAGTGACTGGCCTACCCACATCCATTTCATTTGATTCAAAGTCATTGTGTTTAAAACATTGGACTTCATGTCTAGAGACTTTCCAAAAGAGTACACAGTGTTAAATCAACTTTGTAAGAGACATGTAGGTGGGGTGCAATTTTACAAGGGGACTAAATGTTTTTTTCATTAAGATGTTTGAAAATTGTAGATAAGATATGGATTTAGTTCCCGGTTAAAATTTTCCTTGGACTTTACACAATGACAGATCACTGCATGAGCATTCAAATTCCATCTTAGTGAAATTTCTTCTGGATCTTAACATCATCTTCAGAACTTAATACTGCTTTGATTTCCTCCTAGAGTCTGTATGACTTTTTCCGTAGTCCTTATAATTAGAAATTCAGATCTAGTCATGCGTCTTGCAAAGATACACCCATTATGAAAGCATAATTATTGGGATGGCAAATTATAAAATTAGCATTACTTTATGTTATTGAACTACTGCTTTTTCTGTCATAGAAGACAACCGTTTTTCAGTCCTTTTTGGTGTAGTGGGAGATAACTGTTCCTGCTCTACTATGTATATTACAAAACGTGGTTAATAGTGTTTCCCTTCATTCCGTAAGCCATAAGAGGACAATTCATTATGTACTGCAGGCCTTTTTAGAACTGACAGCTGCACTGTAATTATCTTCATGCAGATATTTGTAATCGGACTTGAAACTTGGGTAATTGAACTAATGTGTTTTGATCCATGAGGTTTTATACTGAGCTCTCTGAATGTAATTATACTTCATAAACACTAGCCTTTTTTTTCCCCCAGTCGATTCTGTCTTGGAAAATTGAGTTTCTTTGGTGAGTGACTGCACAGGAATAAGCACACAAGAAAGTTGCTTGTCAGGAGTAAAAAAAGGGAATTTCTTCTAGACTAGTTGTTAAATAAATAGCAAGTGAAACTCCTTTCAGGTTCCAAATAAGGATGATCCAAAAACGTATGTGATCAAACAAAGCTGATGTTGCAATAAAAGCATCCTGCTGTATGTAAAAATCAGACTACAAACAAAGTACAAATAAGACATTTGTACTTTTCTTTTTCTGAGGGGAAGGTAATGAACTGATATTGATGTTTCTCTTCATGCATTTTTAATGCTGAAAATGTTCTTTGTATCTTACATTAAATACCCAATTTTTCCTCTTATGTTTCCTTTTTTTTTTCTTTCCCTTTTTAGTTATTTTTGCTCATATCCTCTGCGATGAGTTAAAAGGTTTGAGGTTATCTCTGTATTCAGAACTCATCATCAAATCTTTGTCTTGGGGAAGGATACTGGTGTTTCTGGGGCTACTGTTTATCAGCCTGACCCTTATCTTGAAATTTACTGGTTTTCCCTGTGTTTGTCAACATTGTATTAACTCATGATATAGAAGCAGCAATGGAACCAACAGACAGAGGTGTAGTGCCTGTCTGTGTCAGAGGGGACGTCATTTCAGCCATTAGATTTGGTGGATTTGTGCCAGAGAGAAATATTAAGAGAAAATATGACTTTCGCTTTTGGTTTTGAGGGAAGCCAAAGACACGTCTCCTAGACAAGTTACGAAGAATCAAACTGAATGTTTTCTTTCAGTGTTATTAAACTCAGTGGGGTTTGGTTTTGTTTGGGTTTTTTTTGTTGGTTTTAGTTTCCTTGGGGTTGTTTTGGGGGGGTGGGGAGGAAGGAGCCATTAGTTCAAATGTCTCATTCTGTTAAATTAATTCCACTGGAAAAGCCTCTTAGTTTCCTTTACAGAATCTGTAGTTTGCTAGCTAGTACTATAATGGTAAGCTATGCTAATACTGGAAAAATAGGGTTGTCCCTGTACCACTAATGTTCCTCAGAAGTAAAAAATTAATACCTGGAATAGGGACTTTCTCAGTCTCATGAGTTCTGTAACGAATGAAGAATACTTTAATGTCATTTGCTCTTGTTCTTTTTGCAGACCCATTAGTTTCCCTGAATGTTCTAAATTCCTGCTAATCTCCTACTGGAGATCTGTAAAGTATTCTGCAGATACGTGTGTTAGTGCAGCATATATGTGTGGCCTTAGCTGTTTGCTTTTTAGTATTTCTAATGCAAGTATTTCCGGCAATCTATTAAAGTTGCTCTTTTTAATATACTTTGTTGTATTAGCTTCTTGATAAAATAGGATGTGAAAAACATGCAGATTAATACTGTAAAATCCTTCAGCCCTGGAAAAAACAACTGTAGTGTTCAATAAGAAAGACACAAATAAATCTGGGTATGGCATGTGCTGGCTGTTTGGATACTACCCAGCAAGCATTTGTTTTCCTCTGTGAGGAAAAATATCATGGGTTTAGTTTTCTTGCTTGATTAAACTATCCATCCCAGCAGAAACTCTGCACACCAGAAGCCCTTTAGAAGTTAGGTAGATTCATGACGCCTACATCCCCTCTAAATATAATCCATTTGCTATAAAGGAGAGAAATATTTTTTTTTTTAATTCTTATTTCTCTTTATCCATTTAATATACGAATTTAAAAATCCACAATGATTTTTAACTAGAAATGGTTTAAAAGTAAATTTCAGTAAAAAAACACAAACAAGTGATATTTTTTGAAAAATGGGAAACACTGAGAAATCTGTTCCTGTATATGTTTCATGTAAAAAACAAGGAAATTTGAGAAATGGGGGATGAAACTTTTTGTACGGGAAGTGCCCAGCAGTCTTAAGCAAAGCAGTTACAAAATCATGTGATTAGTAACAACCATAATCCATTGTGCAGAAAAGGTAGATTCTTTGGTAGGGGGTCTCTGAGACATGCTCTGCTGGTTGGTGTACCAGTAGAGACGAAAATGTAACTAGCTTTGTTCTTGATCTTTGATGCTAAATTTCTTGAGGACAGTGAAATTCACAAGCTGGTGTGTAGAAGGTAAAGCTGTGTCAGTGGTTTTAGGCAGTTCTTTAAGGACTTTAAATGCAGCTAATGTTCAGTGGGACAGCTCTCAAGGGGAACATAAATTGCTTCAGTCTCCTGGTAGGCTACTGGAAGATGAAAATTCTTTTGGCGGTAAATATAGACATAACTATAAAATACACATTTTGTAACATATTTGAATGGTCTAGTGCTACTAATTTGACAAGAAGCCATTACTATATTAGCTGCCCAAAAAGGGCTATGAGAAGGTAGTTTTAGTCACCGTTCAGAACTCGTTGGCGAAGACCATTCCTACCAGATCAGCGCCTCAGAAATTTGTATGTTATAACTGTGAAACAATAACGGGAAAGCAACAGGAGGTTCAGGCTGCCTTGTAGCTGATACCTACTCGGCCATGACCTTGGTAGATGACAGAGTAGCGAGTGACCCAAGCAGACTTGTTTAACAAAATCAGAACTGTCAGTTTGCTAGAATTTCTAACCCCAAATTAGGACCACAAGTAAATGAATCCTGTAATAAAAATGTTGTTGTCAGTGTTTAAAAGATCAGCATAAGCATTAAGCAGTTACTTGTGGATATCCGTAACCTCGATCTTGGTATGTATCCAGTCTGACGACCACGTTCATCCAGTGCCAGAGTGCAAAGCAGTTCAGATTGTTGTGGGGGAAGCTGGCTATTAAACATGCAATGAAATGCACAGGCAGCAGAGCATAAGGCCACAAGGTGTCCTGATACCTCTGTGCAGCCTCTTGGAGCCTGCTTGGAGCCTGGACATTAATTTGGGTTAATTCAGGCTTGTTTGGCTGAGTGATGTAAGTTGTCCTGATGTGATATGCGCGTGCACATATTTCTGACTTGCCAAGTATGTGTCACACAAATGTTGCATCTGGCCTTCCTTGACAGCATTTGGGAGTACTTTTTAAACTGCTGAGTCAAGCGGCTTGTTGAGAAAGACCCGTACAGAACACAAGGGCCAGATTGTATGCCAGTCAGCAAGTTAGACCTCATCATCGGAAAAAACTCATGTAAAAGGACAGTGGGAGTAAAGATTTTTTGTCTTTGCCCATTGAAGTTAAAAAAGACTAGATAATCAGCTTGTACAAACATCTGGTGTAGCTGAAAAAAGGAAGGGGACAGGTCATTGTGAATGAAAGAGTTGATAATAACCTCTTGATAGTAGCCTTGTGTGGAAAGACGCCATGTTGGCTAACCAACGCTCGTTAAGGAATGGATGGGAAAGGCTCCATTCACCAAAGTGCCGAGTGTATGACGCCCCCTTAAGAATAAATATGATGTTCAAGTATTCTGCTGAATGAAAAGGCTTGGCTTATCGAAGTGTAGGATTATAGGACAAGGGTCCTAGAACATAATTTATGGAGGGTGTATAAAGCAACAGATATGTTTTGTTTGTTGGTCTGTTTAGGTTCTTGCTTGGTTAGGTTTTTCTCACAGATGAGATAAAAATTCAGCCCTTTGAGCTGGCTGTCAGGTGTGTCTATTTAGAGGTCTGGCTAAGTTTCATAGTAGAGTGGAAGGAACTATGAGGAGTGAAATGTATTAAAGAGCTGTGAGGTGTCCGCCAGATTGTCACTGAGCAGTCTCTCGCCCATTCAAGCTTTAGACAGTGGTTCTTGTTAAAGAATAGAAAGCAGCTACTGACATGGTAGTAACAGCCCATATATATAGACTCTTGTGGCAATGGTAGGAAAAAATATTTCAGTGGGGAAGTAAATGAGAGACTGCAAATTCTGCTCTTTTAATGAATATATTGTCTTGTACTCACAAGTCTGGAGAAATGCCACTGAATGCAGAAAAGTCAGAGGGTACATGTTAAGACAAAGTCTGGAGCCTCTAGGATTCAGTTATTCATTCTGCCTGTTGAGCTGGAAAATCGTCTACTGTCCTGGCCGTAAGGTCAGCATTTCCCTAAATTCTGTGTGAGTAGAAATTAGTATTTCTGTGTCACCTTTAAAGCTGGTTAGATAATGAGGACTGAGTATATTGAGTACTGAAGTACTGGGATCCATTAAGGTATACTAAGCTTCAAGCTGCCGTTGTTACAGGCATGACCCCCGGGCAAAGGAAAAATTGTAGAGGTTTTGAATTTTTATAGACCTGACTCTTAATCCTCAGAACCAGTTATACTTAACAAAGCATAATTTAGATATTTCCTTTGTGCTCACAGGCATTTGGAAAGAGCGTAGGTACTAGGATAGATCAAGGAATAGGAAGACCAGCATGGAAAAATTCTCAGATATACATTGAATGGGATCTTTATAGCCTGCAGTGATCAGCATGCTTTGGCCTTAGGTTGGTGCCCAAGATCAATTTGGGTGAAATATCTCTGGGGAAAGGCAGCAAGCTAAGAGATCTCCTTTTCATTTGGCAATTTGAGGTAGTACCCTATTTGAGCCTGACTGCATTAGATCAACCTGAGAGACCTTTGAGCATCACCTGCTACCAAACAGCGTTTCTCCTGTTTGAAACAATTGGCTTATTGAATTTGGCTAGTATTCTTTCTGACATAGTCAGACATGTAAGCATTTGTTCACATCCCATTGCCTTCAAGGATGTGTGAAAAATGTCTGCAACAGGCCTGACTGGATAATCTCTGCTGCTCAAAAATACAAATTTAGAACTGGTTTGAATTTTGCAAAATAAGCTAGACCCTAATATGCATATGGTAGAGTGACATTCAGACGTCATTTCCAAACCAGAGGTTTACAGTTCTGTTGCTTCTCTTACTGGTTTTCCTCTAGATAATCAACCATTTAACTATCCTAAAAAAAATCCCCAAGGAGTAGTAGGACTGTAATGTCCAAGTTTATCTTCAGTTGCTGTATTTGTTTTGGTCAAGTGAACTCAATTTCTAGTGCAGTATGGATGGTTATCCCTAGGTTCTGTTGAAGCCAAAGGAAAGAAAAGGCAGAACACAATTTTACTGATGCGCAGTTTGGGAAATCCGAATGCCTTCTGCTTTTATTATTGTTTTGATCTGGTTCACCCCATTTCATAAATCTTATGCCGTTTCATGAGGAAGAATATGGATGTACTTGAATCATTCCCTTCTGTGTCTGTAAGTTATATTTCAGTCTAGAAAGAATGGGGGTTAACAGAAAAGAGAAATGAGTCCTTTCTTGTAAGGCTCTGTGCAAGTTCAGCTCTTTTAAATTCAGTGACTTCTGAGGATATTGCAGCATTTAATAGTCCCAAGTCTAAAATAGTTGTAAGTATCAAAGCTGTAGGTTTCATACCATTTTCACAACAGAGTGTCTTTTTGTGTTTCAATCCAACTATAGGATATTACCAGCTTGCTTCATACCATCTATGAGGTAGTTGATGCATCAGTAAACCATTCTCCTAGTTCCAGCAAAACTCTGCGAGTGAAACTTACTGTGGCACCAGATGGCAGCCAGAAGAAGAAGAGTATCTTGTTAAATCATACTGGTAAGGATGTGTTATCGGCCGTTGGAAAAAATACGAAAAACTCTTAAGAATCCCTTAAAAATCCATCTTTGTACTTTGTTAATACAAATAAATATATACCTAAAGACAAATAATTTTGTGGGTATTTTAAACCCTGTGAACCTGTTTTAAGATCTCAGGTGCGGAATTGCCTACCCTCCTTTCAGTGTCTCTCAAACAAATTAGGGTTCCCTCTCTCGATTGGTTGTTTCCTCTTGGCAGCACTAATAACCCCCATGTTGTATAATTGTCTTTGTGTACTGCAAGGCATATTTAAGGCCTTTTCGACTTGTACCACTTGAACTCTGCTAATATGACAGCGCTCAGTTTGTGTGGAAACAGGTATAGTGGTATAAAATGTTTTTTACAAGTGCATAGCTATCACTGCTGCTGGGTAAGAATAAACAATTAAGCGTAAGTAGCCTTTATGAATCTGTGCATAAAAATTGCACATTTTTCTGTACTGGCAGAGTCTGCCATTATAAAATGCCTTACACTCTGATGGCTTACTCAGCTTATATTCACCCTAGTAATAGTTGTATCAGCATAATTACTTCAGTAGATAAAGTAGTACTAAATTAAAATACTTAAAGGTATTTTTAAAAGTATAAAAGTAATACTTCAGTAGAAAATGTGGGCACCTTATCCAAAAGGAGCGCCTTGTTACCTCAATTTTAATGTATGTCCAGTCAGTCAAATGCAGACATAGACAAATTTACACTGCTGGGGAGCTACGTGCTGCATTAGTACAGTATCAAGCTCCAAACCACCGAGCCCTCCTGAGGGACAAGTATATCAGGGCGAATGTGGCTCCATTTAACCTGCCACATGGCTTGCAGCCTAACCCTGACTAATGTCCTACAGTCAAGGTTATGTCTGCCTAAAATCTGTCGTGTGGACAAAAGCACTTTTGAGAAGGTTACACAAAATGATACATTACATCTTGATCTACTGACAAGAAAAAATATATTTGCAATGTAGCATGTTAGTTATGCCAATCAGCTAGGACAGTAATGTAAGAATAATGTACTTTCTCTTGTTGGCAGATTTGCAGAGTGCCAGGCACAGAGCTGAAAGCAAAGCTAACGAAGAAGTAAGAAGCTCTGAGAAGAAGCAGCGGGCTTCTCTCAGGTAAGGGGAAAGAAACCTGTCTCCTAACAGGCACCGGGTACATCTGAGGAAACCTCAACCGCTGATTTCTTGCCTGCTTCCTTGCTTTATTTTAAAAAATTACTTTAAAATAGACAAATTACAGGATTTTTCACCATGGAACTGTCAGCAGATTCCATGGGTGGATACTTTGTATAATAAAACAAAAACCAAAACCCCAAATCTGTAGCACCCGTTACTCAAATTTTCTTCTTCTGTTGGCTCTTTGGAGGACGTGCAGTGTCATTTTAGATTCCATCTGCAAATACTGTACCTACTAGTGAAGTTTATAGCACGACCTCTTGGCTAAAAGTGTCCTAAAACCTTTTCATCTTCACAGAGCTCCTGCTTTTCTCTGTCCTCCTTCTAGCCCGTCTTTTTCATTGGTCAACTCAGTTAGCTCCAAGCTTTATTAACTCTCTCGTGTTTACCAGGTCATAGCCAGACCTGCTTCTCCTTACCGCCTTTCCTCCTGAAAAAAGCAGTTTTGAGCTAGCACTGGGTACAGTACGTAGCAGAAGGAGGGAAGCAGCAGATGATCGGATTTACAGCAAGTGGTCTACCTAGGCTGTGTCTCTCAGAGTAAGCGACAAGCAAGAGCTTCTAGCACGCTGCCTGCTCTGTGCTCTGTTCTGCTGAGGTGGCTCTGGCTTATAGCAACTGTGTGGTGCCTCCACTCCACTTCCAAAGTGTGTTTGTACATTTGGGAGGGGAAGTAAATTCACCTCTTTTTTACCTCCCAGCGACTTAGCAGAAGGGCTATCTCTGCTGACTCCCACCTGCCAGAAACCATGCTTCCCCACTGCCACATCAGCTTTAGGTCAACTTCTCCCTTACAGAAGTAGTTATTAGGTTGTACCCATGTAGGCATTAGCCTGCTTGCCTAGAACCAATATATTTAATGTAATCTTGCAGGAAAATTGGGATAATTTAATTTAATTTAATTTATCTTTCTTTCTTTTTTTTTTTTTTGCAAGTTTCAGAATACATTTCAACACTTGAAAAAATACTTGTCTGTTGACTTTCAGTGGAATCCAGCCTGTGTGACTCAGAGGGCACCCATGTCCAATAAAGCACAGGCACAGTGGTTTCTTTTATGAGCAGCTGCAGGTACACTTGCAGCCATCTACAGATTAGATAAAAAAAGGTTTTTAGTTCTTCCCTAACAGAACATACAATATTATTTTGGTTGCCAGTCCAGAACAAACCTTTTTACTCTGAAAATGTGTAATCATGTGTATCTGCCTTGGTACTGTGAATTCTACCTACATGATAGATATTACCTGCACTGAACTTCACAGTATGTGATAATAATTTGCAATGTATTTTTCAAGTATTAAAATTTTTTACAGCTAAGAAAAATGTTAATCTTTTGGTCACATGTAGGTGTGCTATTCCTTTTCTGAATTTGGTATTTTACTGGATAGAAAACCAAATCAAAAGCAGGTAATTTTCATGCATTTTAAAGTAGATTAGTTGCTCCAAACAGGTCGTCTTGGTGTAGAAGTTTGATTTGTTTCAGGATTTTATGTTTCGTGCTAAGGCAGATGGAAGTGTTTGCTGAAATGCTAGAGTAATGACACTGAATCATTAGTTGCATTTGTTTCTTCAGCTGCAAAAAAAAAAATAACCTAGTTTTGGCTTTTCTTGGATTTAGGGATATTTGTCCAAATACATGTATTTAGTTTACTAAATTTATCAGGAGAAGGAGCATTCAGTTTTATTAAAAATGACAACAGAACTGTGCCTCCCTTTTTTGGATAGAGTAAAAACGCCTAGTGTGTTATCCCAGTGAATAGATCCCAGTATAACCAAATTTCAGATTAAAAAAGACTAAAATGATGTCTAATCTTCTGTTAGCAACTCTGTACAAAATCTTTTGTCAACTGAAGAATACTGCATGTGAACTAAACAATACGCCGTGATTTTGCTTGCTGGTCTAGATGCGGTGTTCAAGTTCCCCCTGCCCATTAGCAAAGGTTTGCCCTGTGTGAATGTAATGGATGGTTTTTGTTTGATAATCTATTGCGAAAATCCCCTTTCAGTTTGAAGTTCCCCTCCCATCCACCTTGAAGTCCTGGTTTTGCAGATGTAGTGGTTTTGTCAACAGCAGCCATTTCCACTTAAATCCACAGTCATGGAGGCATCAAATATTGGGGTAGAATCCTGGCTCTGCTGCATTTGTCCTTTTCATCCCTTTGGTTAGAGGCTTCCTCAACAGCACAAACCTGTATCTTGAGCTGAGCAGATCAGCACCAGACAGCTGTCAGCATCTGACAGTTTTTGTTGCATCTCATTAAACGTGGACAGGACAAAGAATGCTGTGTTCACACTGTGTATGTTCCAGGGATGTTTGTGCACTCTGGCCAAATTGCTGACCCTCAGGAAAGCTCCCTGAGGCTCCTATCAGAATCTCATGATATTAATGCAGAGGTTTTGCCTTTGAAAGCAGCAATGAGGACTTGTGAGAAGTGCACACATTTCACAGATTCAGTCACTTAGGAATTCTAGGCAAGATGTGATTAATATTCAAGATAAAATGGATAGAAATGTTTTTATCCTGAAGGTGGGAGATAGATGGGTTAGAATTTTTATCTGCTGGAAGCTACAGGCAGGAATTCTCGCCTGTAGGGCTAATACAAGTATCAAGATCAAGTAACTAGATTCATAGCTAGCTTGCCTGGCATGTGTAGTATAAAATTAATGGTGGAAGAGCACTGGCAGGCAACTTCGTGGACTGGGTATCTTCATGCCATTCTAGTTTATGTTTCCTTTAGTGCAACAGGGAAAATGTGATGCATACCAGCCTCTAAAACATCTTCCTTTTACCCACAGATAAACATTGTCACTCTCTCTTTCTTTCCTGCTTAAGGGATTTCTCCCTGAGTGGCTAAAACTCTATGTTATCAGTGAGTGTAGCTTTCAGGAAATGTCCTTGCGTTTTTCTACCCTGCTCCCTGTCGCTGCTCTATTCCCCTTACCTACTATATTGCTGTGTGCCTGTTACCAGCAAAATGATACTCCAGCATGGGAATTTTAGAAAGGGCTTTCATATGCTCCACAAACACTTAAGCAGATGCCTTTTTTATTAAAAACCAAGCCAAACCAAAAACCAGTAACAACACTGTATTTTTATACCCTGTGCCTGATGCATGGTTGATGCAGGCCTGTCTTCCGCTGTGTATGCAGGAGAGCGTTGTGGGGCTGGATGGCAGATGCTTCAGTTCTCAGAAGTACTTAAAGTTCTCTTTGACAGTGGAGCGCGTCTCTCATCAGTATATAATTGCTTCACTGTATTTGCATGAGTATTGCTGAACATCATCTTGCATGTAAGAAAGCTATTAGAATGCAGGGCTGTGGCAGTACTGGCGTAGTTTTTCTCCACTGTGTCGATGAGAGATAGATTTTATTGCAGTAACAAAAAAACAGGTTCCCTGTTAACTTAGTTTTTTCAACAGAGTGCTGTGTACAGTGTTGCTTAAATGTGTTGCATCAAACCCAGCGATGCATCTTCTGGGTTAACTATGCGTTTTCTTCAGCACATGTGTGCAAATCCCAATGGTTTTCGTAGGCAAGTCATGCCTGGCAACTTCAGTTAGCCAGGTTCTAGCCCCAGAGATCTTTTTTGACCTGCTAAAGTGTAACAACCTGTACAGGTGTGTCTGAGGCAAGAAAGCTACCGAGTTGGCTGTGTATCCAAAAAAAAAAAAAAAAGAACACCTGGACATTCCCTCTTTTTTGACAGTACCCCATGTCACTTCTGGAGTTCAAAGCTGACTCAGAGTCTTTAAAGCTTACCTGCTTTCCAGGCAGACTCTCCTCCATTCAGGAGACTCTACCTCTATCAAAGTAGAGCAAAAATGATCTTCCAGGTAGGTCAAGTCTTAGGACTTTAATGAAAGCAACTGTAGACCTGTGTCTGACAGAGACACGGGGGACTCAGTTCTGTAATGTCCCTGAACAGTACTGCCCTAGACCAGGAAAGCAGTTTGTGCCAAAGCTCAATGGGATCAGCAGCCTCTGGAAACCTGGAAATGTGTTAATAGTCTAAAAGTAGAGTACTGGGCACCATACAGTGCAGAGCCCTTATTTAGCAACTGGTGTAGGATACGAGGCCAGATTCTGGTCTTAGGCTGACATCAGGGCAATCGCATAGAGAAAGAGGAGAGCCTATCTTGTGGTCATGGAGACTGAACTATCTGTATGACAGGCAGTGACTTAATCAAGGGTTTTCTGCTTATCCTGTTTCTTATATTGAAAATATTGTTCATATCTGCAGACATCCATTTAAATTGCTGAATTAAATTGTTCGGCATTATGGGCTACAATACTGTAAACCTCTGCCTTATTTTTTTCTGCCTCATAAATGAATGGTATTTCAGATATTCATTCTCAGGAAATAGTTCTGCTATAAATAAAATTGCAAAGCTGAGCAGGAAAGCGAGTTGAGATTCTGAAGCCAGCGGCTGATCCAACCTTATTAATTGTATTTTGGAAAGCAGTGGGTATCTCTAGGTGTCCTACCAACACCTTCTCTTCTCAGGCTTTCTCTAGTTACTACACACGTGCTGTTGCCTGTTTTTCTGAAGCAGATACACATGAATGTTTATCTGACACGAGGCTTACCCCAGCTCTTCCCGACAGCGGTGGGAACAGCCATGGATCAAACAGCAGGTTTTCTTTGGCATGTCCAAATTAGAGAATCAGTTGAATGGTTTGGTCCTAAGACAGAATGTAGTAAAACCTAGGAGGATTTTTATTTGTTTTTGCATGTGTGATGGAATTTGAAAGTGTCCTTTGCTTTGCAACATTGGGGTCGATTTATATGAGGGGAAAGAACAGTCAGTTCAGGCCTATGGACTTAGCTAATCTGGTCATCCAGAATTTTAAGCGTTTGTTGTTTCTTTTTGAGCAACTCCTGTCACTTCAAAGGGGCCATTAGTTGTTGGTTTGCAGATGGTGATAATGACTTTAAAGAAGTTCTGCTGAACTGTAATTTTGCTTCCTGCTGACAGATATCACCACAGTGAGAACAATCCAGAGCAAAGTGGGTGCTATCGTCATTGTGTTGATGAGAACATTGAAAGGAGAAACCACTATTTGGATCTTGCAGGAATAGAAAACTACACATCAAAGTTTGGGCCAGGTAATTTGGTAATTTATGTTGCAGCCTTTTGGTCTTTTCTTCCGTCAGTTGCACGTTCCACATCAGGGGCAGTGAATTGTGATTTGTCTGTAGTGACTTACTGGAAGGAATAGGACTGTGTGAATACTGCAAGATAATTACTGATGAAGGTGGTATCACAACGGCGTGGCTAATGTGCTGCAAGCCTGCTTTGAAGTACTTGTTTGTGTAGCTAAACTTGGAGGTGAGCCTAGGAGAACAATCTTTACATCTAAATTATTAAGTTTAGTCTATGGGTGAGGCGAGGACTGATTTTTGGATGTTGGAGCGTGTTCCCAAGATGATACCAGCATGTATTTTGTACTCACTGCTGACCCAAAAATTGGAGAATGTGGGTTCATACCTGGAATTTTGGCTCCTGTCCCCAAATTAAAGGGATATGGATTTCCTCCCTTTCCCTGTCCTCTGCCAAGATTTTACTATTCCACTCTCAGTTATTTTGGCGCATTTCAGATAGAGGATGACCAAAAGAAGGTAATGTAACATGTTTTATGCACACACACCCCCCCACACACATACACAAACACACACACTCTTATATACATATGGGTGTATATTTGTATGTGTATTATTTACGAGTCAGAATTATTAAATGTAATTAAACTAGACAGCTATAATTGCATTCATTTCCTTAGGAAAAATTCACTCTGCCGATTAATGCTATCCCTGCCAACTGCATGCTACTAATTAAAACTTTGAAATACTAGATGACTAACTCAGCTTGTTATTTCCTAGGATCTCCTCCAGCAGCTCAAAAACATGACCCACCAAGCAGAGTTGTGAATCAGACTAGATCCCGTTCTCACGAACCTGAAACCTTCCATGCTCACCATAGGAAATCTCAAGTGGTGGATCCAAGCCACATCAATTTGGCTGAGAGTTCGTATGCCAAGATTGCAGAAATCCAACAGAGGCTCCGGAACCAGGACTCAAACAAGCACTTTGTGAGGTCTCCCAAGGCCCAGGGCAAGAATGTTGCCCCTGTGCATCCTGGAAGGGCAGTAAGAAATAAACCTTTTCAAGGGGCTCCCATGCCAATGGCTTCCCCAAGTGCACGGGTGGGCCAGAATCTTCCTTACCTCCCCTTGCAATCTCAACAGGTTCACAAGAAGCATAAGCAGAGGTCAAAGGAGAACCACCAAATGTGCAAAACCTTTCAGTCTCCCGGGACAGTTGTGGAAAAGGAACATGTGAGAGACCTGCCCACAGTCATTTTATATGAAGGCCAAGTTGGACAAATGATACAAAGACATGAACACCACCACCACCACGAGCACCACCACCACTACCATCACTTCTACCAGACATAAAACAGATCCCACCAGCATCCTCCAAGAATCATCCCATATGAAGGAAATGCGTTCTTGTGATACCAGAACTAAGGCATTACTATGATTAATATTATTGTTACTCCATTAATATTCAGCTAGCGTATATTTTAGAGGTTATATGGAACTCTTGAACCTTACCCTATTTATATGTTGTGGAACTGCATAGCTTACTTAAACACCTTGTGGATTTTTTTTTTAAGTGGCTTGTAAAACAGCAAACAGCCATAGCTTTTTGAGCTGTGATTTAATACAGGTCGTCAACGCACTTCTTTACAAGTACTACTTCCATTGTAGTAGGAAAGATACTTCAAACACTATTGCAGACATCTAGCTCACCAGTCTGCTGTATGTCGGCTGATCGCACACAAGCCTTTTATCAGGGGAGCAATGTTCAAAGGGTTGGACTCCAGAGATACTCAGAATAACAGAAAATACAAACAGCTGCTACCTCTAGTATTATTCAGATTTTATTTTCTTTTTATTGATTGTAATGTGCTACGGGGAGGGTGGGGGGGGTGGATTTTAATATACTGCATTCATGTAGCCTGTTTGTGTTCACATCCTTTCAAATTATCTTAATAATTACAAGGAAATATTAGCTATACTTGTCAACAGAGCTACATTTGTACAATTACACTTTATTTTCTTGGAGATTCTTCACTGACACAAGTACAGTCTGTTATATACTGGGTAATATTTAAATACACTTCTTTTATTTTTGTTTTTTCTCTTGCTTACTCTCTGTTCTGTTTGGGGTAACCATTTGAAAAGAGGAGGATGTGAAATGGGGTTTTCAAAAGCATCACTAGACTTTAGGGCTTTGGCCATAAGTATCATTCATGGGGGTTTGGGAAGGAGAGGGGTTGTTTGGGAGTTTTGTTTTGTTTAAATCCACAGTTCTTTGTTTTGAGAAAGAATTGAGGAAAATATACTTTCTCACTGTAAATGTTGGCAAATATATATAAAATATAAATATAAATATATATATATAAATATGCACACTCTCAGGTACATTTTTGTTGTGTTTTAGAAATCTGTGGTTTGAATATTAACATTATAATTATTTTTGTCCACAACAGTGACTTTTTACAAATATATGCCATGGCATTTTCTTAGGTGCCTCCATTTTAAATTTCCCCAGCACCTACCAATTTGTGCTTCTCCCATTTTACATTTTAGAGACAATTCAACGCGTAAAAAAATATCATTCACAATCATCCTGGCCTCTTCTACTTTTTCCGTTATCAAAGGGCTTCCATTCAGTGAAGGAGAATGAGACCATACTCACAAGACCTTACTGGCTGATGAGAAATTTGAAGGTCAAAAGCAAATTGGAAAAGTGAAAGAAAGGGTCAGTACATTCAAGTTTTACTTTCTGTGGGGCCCAGGTTTGTAATACATTCAGTCAGGTTTTGTACAGATCACCATTTTGCAGGTAGGAAGTAACTGAAAAACACCTACGTTGCTTTTGGAACTTTAAAGTAGAGAACTCCTCACATGAAAACATAGTTGTTCTATAAACATATTTGCTTTTGGTTTTGATTATTTTAAATGTTGTGGTCTTTTGTCTATAGTATATATTGTAAAATGTAACTATCCCACATTGTTATAAGCCCTTTATGATTAGGGTATTTTTTTTCTGACTAGAGTTTTGATCAGTCCAAACTGGGATATTACCTTACTGCTGACCAGTTTTAGAGGGATGTTGTCCTTTCTAAGAACATGGAGACATCAACTTTTAAAGAAAAGCGGAAAGCCTTGCCTTCTTGTGGAATTGGAGTAGAATCGCTGCTTCGTGGTAATTAGGTCCATCTCTTGTCTCCCTGGATCAGCAGTTGTTTAGACTTATTGTCCTCTTTAAAAAATCTGGTTTATTTTATTTTATTTTTTTTAGCTGTCAACAGTGTGTTCTGTTAAATCTAACAAAATGTTTTTAAAATGTGTTTGATCTGTGTGACAACTATACTGTTCTGTTTATTTTTAAAATTCCTAAAGTCCAAAAATATTTATATGCAGAATTTTCTGTATTGAAAATATGAAAAGGCCACAAATTTGGTTAGTTACCACTGAGTTGTTCTAGTCTAAGCCTTTTTTGCTGCTTGTGTATCATTCTTTTTCAATGTATATATAATTATGGACTGCAAAAAAAAAAAAAGGCATTTATATGTCTAGTAGAAGGAATAAGCTTATTTATATTATAGTGTTAACAAAGTCTGATGTATTCAAGTGACTTACGTTATACCGCATGCAAACACACAAGTGTACATTCCATCTGAGAAGGGATGCCATGCTATTTGGTTTGAAGATGTAATTAAAGCTGTTCTCTTTTCAGTAGAGCATATGCCAGAAATACTGGGAGGTGGGAATTGTTTCTTAGTCAATTTTTTTAATGCAGATTGTTGCTGAAAACCAGAAAACGATCTGGTAAACTAGAGCGTTTTCAGAGCTGTGGGCTTTTCTAAGAAAGGGCAGCAAAGGGGCATAAATGCTCTTTCACCCAAAGATATTTTGCTGGAAAAGATAACAGCATCAATAACAAAATCCCATCGGATTGAAAAGCGTGCAGTACTAGTTGTGCCAAGTGAACTCTGAAATGTAACGCAACTGACCATTGGTTACAACCTTGTATTGGTTCGGTTTGGTTTATTGTATTTGGACATTCAAAAGACAAATTCTGCCTTGCTCAGATTCTGTGAAATACAAATACATTTTAATAACGTGGCATCCCCATACTAAAACTTCACACCAGCCATGTATGAATATACAGTATCTAAATACTGTGTTGCAGTTGTGTTACGTGTATTAAGTGTGAATAACATGTAGCACAGTTTCTTTTCACAGAACCTTAAATTTCCGTATCTTTTAAAAATGTTTGCTTTTCAGTATTTTGTATAGTAAATATAGATGGTTTTGACTAAATGCTTTATTTATTTAACAGCAAAAACTGTGCCAAGAGAACCCCCTGTTAATTAAAGTTTTACTAGTTCAGAAAGTATATTTCCTTCTTCTTGTTGTGGATTTCAGGGGCTTATTGCAGTTGCTGTCAGTGCTTGCAGATCCCACTGATGAAAGAGCTTGCAGTAACAGTTTTGGGAACAGGATCAGGCCATAACATATGGACCGGGTATGCTTTGGTTTTATATTTAAACTATCAATTTTCAAAGTTAAGTTTTTTGTCCCCTGCTGTTAGACCTGTGTTGAGTAACTGATTTTTCAGCTTATTATTAATTCTAAAAACCTTTTTAAAAAAAATACTGTATTATTTTAAGTTGTTCAAAACTGTGGCTGAATCAAAATATAAAATAGATTAGTTTCTAGTTAAACAAAACATTTCATTTCCAAGAAAAAAGTATTCAGAGTTTATTATTACTATTTAGAAGTAAAATGGAGTGGCATGAAGTCATTTTGAATGAGAACTCCAGCCTTTTCCCTTACTTTTTATGTTTTACACAAAGCAGTTGAGCAAAACGAAGCCAATCCCAAAATTTGCGCTATTTGCTGAAAAATTTCAACTGAAAAATTTTGCTCAGCTCTACCATCTGCAATTTTTGGGAAGCCATGATTACTAAGCATTTCTCACAACTTCACGACCACCTAACACAAAGTAAACTAAGCTAAGGATAGCAAAGTAAAATCTCTCTCCCAGTGAAATCTCTGGCAAGACTGCCGGATTGCCACTGGCTTCTGGGTGCCTGCAATTTCATTCCAGGAGTGTGGGTTTGAAGTCCACATAATGTGCAGACAGTGATTTCAGTATTTATTTTTTATGCATCTTACTGCTGATGGTTTTGTAGTAGCTAGTATTAAACGAAAGTTTTACTGTAAGAGATCAAGCTGGTAAATTAATTAAGATTAGCAGCAAATACTGTGTTTTATACTCATGTCATTGGAGGACCTCAAGGCACTTCCAAATGTCTTTGAAACATCCCCACATCATTTAGTCACCGTTAGAAATTAAGACCAGGTTCTGCCGTTGGATGATGAAGTACAGGTTCTCCTGGCATATTGGCAGACCAGCCCCTTAAGGCCATACGGAACTAAAAAGCCACATACGTGACCTCTATAACTGCCTTCCTACTCTAGTCATCCTGAGCACAGAACAGCAAAGTGTAGCTGGAGAAGTACCTTAAAGGTGTGTGTGTGTGTGTGTGTGTGTGTATGTACATGTATATGTGTCCTCTGGCAGAAGTTAGTGAGCGGCACAAGATGGAATCTGACAGAGGTGATCTTTTATAAAGGGATACGTACCGTGTGTGCTCAACAGTCTACAAGTTGCTACATAAACATACGGATACGATGAGTGCTTGCTGTTCTCCATATGTCATTGTGTACCTCAATTATTGAATGACAGATTTCATTTGTATTCCAATTACCAGGAAAGGTAGGCCCCTTGGGGTCTAAATTATACTTGAGAAAAATTCATCATGCTTGAAAATTTGCAAAAACACTCACCATAATTTTTGCCTGGAGTATAGGCAAGAATGTTCATGTTTGGAAATGTGTCAGCTAATCAAGTCTCACCTTTAATTACCTTGATGCAAGTCATCAAGATCTGAAAATACTTTTTCAAACATGACTTATTCATGGTTTTGCTGGGAACCAAGTCACATTCAGCATCCTGTTCGTTGTCAGACTTTTTTTTTTCTAAATGTACCAAGCAGAAACATGTTTGAAAATCCATGAAATAAAAATTGAACTTAATGTGTTTTCTAAATAGCTTCTGGAAGAAGATTCCTCTTCTTTTCTAATGCACTTAGCAGCAAAACCAGCCTCAATTTATCACATAACGATTTATTTTCTTTGCATATTTGACAGCTGTTCAGTTGATTTGACTTGGGAGGAGCTGTTTGGGGATTTTTTTGGCTTGTGTACATTTAAAATGTGCTAAAAATGGGCTAAAAGGAACAGATGTAGAAAAGCAAATAACTTTATATTGAAATTATGCAGTAGAGGTTGAACTGCATCTTATTTGAAGTTTG